GCACACGCGCCCGGCGTGAGTTTTAAGCCACCGGGTCCAGGACACGAACCGCAGTCGACTATGTGGGAGTCCAGCGACATAGCCATTACACTAACTGCTGGTTCCCCCTAATTTACTTTTTTTTGAGAGAGATTTTTGCTATAGGGTATGTGCGTTTGCCAGAGAGACCAAAAAAAAAAAAATCACCCCCACCCCTGGGGGTGAGGGGTTATGGCCGCACTGCAATCCCTTCTCCTCCATTCTCTCGGGATTTTGGGCACGCACGCACATGTGACCAGTGTGTTTTAAGCTGCCAGGGTTGGGATTCGAACCATGGCCGACTATGTGGGAGTCCAGCGATATAACCATTATGGCCATCTGCTGGTCCCTTTTTGTTTGTTTGTTTAGAACAAATGAGCTTTAAAAAAAATAGAACATGCATTTTGTGCTCAGGGACAGGGTTTGCCCTGATGTGCAGCCAGGTCTGGGTCCTGCTGCTGTGGACACCTCCTTGTGACTGTCCTGTGTGCACCTCTGGGACTCTGCAACCATCTGCCAGGTTCCCATGACCCAGAACCTGGGGAAGCATGAGCTCCAGGCAGGCTGCAGGGGTCCTCCCCAGCGGCTGGCACCCAGCGGGGGTTCATAAAGGTCAGCTGAAGAGAAGGCCAGACCCCGAGCACAGCTGCCTGGGCAGAGGTAAGCAGAGCCACTGGTCGGCTCTGCAGTGACTGCCCGTCCCCAGCAGGCCTGTGCAGAAGGCCGAGGGAGATCTGGGGCTGTGGTGACCCCAGCACAGGGTGGCAGCATGCAGGGAAGAGGGCTGCAGAGCTCCGCTGGGTAGCTAGCTCACCTGCTGGAGACCTCGTACTGCTGGGTGTCCACTGCACAGGGCACCCCAGCCACCCTGACTGTGTGCAGCACGTCCTGCACACGCTGGCCCAGGTTCGAGCCCCTGATGGTGACACGGGTACCTCCGTCCACAGGCCCAGTCACTGGCTCCACCTGTTCCAGGACAAGGACTGCTCACTCCACCCACCCAGCCCTGAGGCCTGGTGAGGCAGCCTCGGCCGTCCCCGGGGCCCGTGCCCACGGGACCGCGCCCTCCCTCCGAGGGCGATGAGGAAGGGACGCCGCAGTGGTTCTACACACCGAGTGGATAAGGGGCGCAGGGCACTGGGCGGCCACGGCCTCCGCCTTGCCACAGGCCTCCCGGGCCACGCAGCGTGCCCGCTCCCCCTCGCACCACACACAGCCATACTGGGGCGCGGCGGTCTGGCAGCGGCTGCAGTCCCCGTGTCCCACGGAGCAGTCGTACAGGACCACTGTGGGTGGCAGCGACGTGTGAGGGCCAGGCCCTGAGCCCTGACCCGGCCCTCAGCGCCCGCCGGCTCACCGTGTAGCCCGTCGGCACTGTCCACGCGCAGCTGGCCGGCACGCCGCAGGAACAGCCCTGCCCGCAGTTCTGGCTGCAGGACCTCGTAGCTAAACTGGGGAGATGGGAGTGAGGTCAGAGCCTGGGGAGGACAGCCATGGTGCCCTGGGGGAGGTGGCCAGAGAAAGTTCCAGAACGGCCAGTTATGGGAGCTGGGGCTACTGGGCTGGAGGTGAGAGGCAGAACTAGAGCCCGGGGACCCAACGGGGTCTCAGGCAAGTGCTCAGAGCTGGGCTGCAGGGACCCCCCACAGGGAGTCCCTCCAGGCCTCAGGGTCAGAGCCCACAGAGGTCGGGAACCAGCCTACGGCAGCGCATCCCACCTACTGGTCCTTACCTGGTGCTGCTGGCATGTGATCTGGCACTGGGTGTCGGGAGGTGGCTCACACTCGACCCGGGCCTCAACTGCCACCTCAAGACCCTCTAGCTCCAACACACACTCGCTGTCCCCCGGGCTGTCCTGGGGATAGAGGACACGGCCAGGGCAGCTTCTGGAATATCTCCCAGTACAGCCTCAGGCTTGGGGCTGAGGCCTGGGTCACACCCTGGCCACCCCCCAAGGGCTTGCCAGGCTTGCATGGCGCCTGCCCACGGCTGAGGAGGCCACGCCGGGATCGCTCACCTGGAAGAGGCGCAGGTTCCGGCCCAGCAGCCGGACGCCGCGCTCCACGTGGACCGGCAGCAGTGCGGGGCCCTGAACGCTCTCCACGCAGGGGCAGGAGCTGGGCCCCCAGGTCACCTCCTCCTGCGGCACCACGGGCAGGGCAGTCTGCGGCGCCCGCCCCGCCCAGGCCAGGCCGCGTCTCCCCATCTCCCTCCCCAGGCTCCTTCCCGGGCTGGGCCTCACCAGCTCCCAGAGCCCGGGGCTGTCGTACTGGTAGTCGAGGCTGGACAGGATGAGGGGGGCGGGCGGGCCCTCGTGCTCCGTGGAGTCTCCATCACCTGAGAGGAGGGTGGAAGCGGAGAGGGCGGGCGCGTCACCCCCGGTCCACTCGTCCGCCTCGGGCAGCTCGCCGCCTTCTCTCATGAGCCAGTCCAGAGCAGGCTTCGTGGAGCCGGCGGCCCCTGGGAAAGTGGTGGCAGGAGCAGTGCCAGGGGGCTGGGCCAGGGCCACCTCCGAGGGCAGGACCTCAGGGCTAGGGGCTGCGGGCGGCACTGCTGCGGCCTCTGAAGGCGAGGGGTGAGCGGCCGAGAGGTCCTCAGGAGGGGCCGTGGGTCCAGAGTCAGGAGTGACAGGGACAGCAGTGCTAGGCCTGTTTGGGGGGCCAGGAGGCAGGGGCTCCTCATGGAGAGGGGACTCTGTAGGGATGGGAGGAGGGACGGGGCTGGGACCTGCCCACGGTCCCCCGGGGCTGAGTGGGGTAGGACTGGTCCCAGGTGGAACGTCAGGGGCTACAGCTGTGGAGGGACCCCCGGACTCCACGGGGAGGGTGTCTGGAGCTGGGGTGACCATGGCCCTGGGGGCTGTGGGTGGGGATTGGGTGGGCACGTCTCTGGCAGGAGGGGCTGGGGAGAGACGCGAGCTCTGGAGGGGAAGCAGAGACAGACAGGAAGGGCCACTCAGCGGGCAGGCGCGGGAGCAGGAGCAGCAGGCAGAGGGCACGTTGGGGGGAGGCAAGGGAAGGAGAGACAAAAACAGCCTGTTAATTCTCCCCAGGCGAGAGGAGCGGGCAGGCTCGGGGCATCTGCGCTGCGGGCCATGCGGGCCAGACCTCCCCTGCTTCTGGGCCAGGGTCCTCTCCCAACAGGTGGGACGCGTCGGCAGCCACCTACAGCCAGCGAGCCCGTCCCCCGGCGGCCCCGGATGGCCTCACGTGGGCAGGCGGCCGTCATGCCGGGAACCCGACCCGTGTGGCCTGGCCCGGAGTCACGCTCACCTGCAGGCTGGCCACCATGGGCCCGGCGTCACAGGAGGCCTTGTGTGTGCACACGTGCTGCCAGACACACCAGTTACATCCCCAGCGGCTGCTCACACAGGCCTGGCACCTACACAGAGGACGGCCATGGAGGGGCGGCGTGGGCAGCCCAGGGCCGGGGACAGGGAGAGGGACTCACTGCGCGGACGGGCGGAGCTCAGCGACGGCCACGCAGTCGTAGAAGGACAGGGAGGCGGTGGCGATCACCACGGCACCAAACCGGAGCTCCACGCTCACCGCGACGTGGTCTGCGGAGGGGAGGGCAGGGCCAGGACTGCGAGGGCGCCCAGCCGGCTGTGCAGGGGAGGGCTAGCGGGGGGAGGAAGGCAGTCCCGGGGCACCGAGTGGAGCCTGGTGGGCGTGGGGACCAGTGAGGGGCTCTGCCTGGACTCGCTCCTCACTCCGGCCACACCCAGAGGAAGACGCAAGCAGAGCGGGCTCCCAGGCCCTGGCCTGGCCCCTTCTCTCACCCACCAGCTCCTCTTTGCACCACCGGAGCCTCCCTGGGGTCTGGGGAGGAGCACACCACACCGGAACCAGTCAGCAGCGCAGGACTCCGATACTCCCCAAAGTGGCAGGAGTACAGCTCCCCTGGCCGCAGGGGTGGCAGGTCTGGCACAGAGAGGAAAACCTGCCGCGAGAGCCCAGGGAACCGTCAGGGCCTTCGGGCAGCAGACAGGGCTGTTTCCAGGGCACCCAACGAGGGTAGGCGCCAGCCGCTGGTCCCACACCTTCACTGACAGCCCTTGGTCTGGGTCAGTGACAGGAGAAATCGAGGCCCCAGAGGGACCTGTGCTGGGCTGTGGTGCCAGCGGACCTGACCCCAAAACCCAAGCTCCAGCACGCCCAGAGCACCTTGGGGCCCTGCCAACGCGCCCTCACCTCCCTCCTCTCCGCTCGGCTGATGTTGGTGGGACTC